CAGCTAGTTTCACATCCATGTTGCTACTATCCCTTTTATACCATGACCTGTAACATTCCTCCTAAGTGTTGTGTGGCACTGTAGCAAAACGCTTCTGGAAATCGACGTATAGCACATCAACAACGTGGCCTCTTCGAATCTTTCTGTCACCTCTTCAGAAAACTCCAAGTTAATTAAACATGATTTTCCCCCTCAGCAATCCATGCTGACTTTTTCTAATCAAACCACCTTTCTCCATATGACTATTAATTCTATCCCAAATAATTGTCTCTAGAAGCTTCCCCACCACCAAAGTTAAACTGGTCAGTCCATAATTGCTGGGATTATCCTTATAACCCTTTTTGAACAAGCTTGTAATGGAAATTTTCCAGTCTTCTGGCACCTCCTGCAACTCCAGGGAATACTGAAAGATTATGGCTACAATTTCTACCCTCTGTTCCTTCAAAGTACTTGAATGCATCTTGTCACTCCAGGTGCTTTGTCAGTTTTAAGTACCAACAGTCTATCCAACACATCTTCCCTATCAATTCTGAATCATACAAGTGCCAGAGTTTTCTTGTCTGTTACCATGGCCTGTATATCAGCATCCTCGTTTATAAAGACAGATGCTAAATATTCATTAAATGTCTGCCATGCCCCCTCCCTCCATGCATAACTTTTCTTGGTCTCTAAACAACACTACTCATCATCCTAAATGCTGTTTTACTATTTAAATGCTTCATGTTGGTTGATGGTGTTTTTTAATAATTCCTCTTTGCTTTTCTCTGACTTGCTTTTTTACCTCCCCCTAAACCTTCACTATTCCTGTTGGCTCTCAATTGCATTTGCTGCGTAACACCTATTATAAGCATTTTTCTTTTTTCTTTCTAATATTAATTTCTACTTCCTTTGTCATCCAGGGAACTCTGGATTTGTTTGTCCTACATTTCCTATTTGACTGTACTTGCATCATCTCTTTCAAGGTAGCCCGTTATGCAGTTACTGTTTTCCCTGCCAACCTCTTGTTCCTGTCAATGCCCAGCTTTTGCTCCACGTTGAGTGCTAATTGCCATGCCAGTAGAAGACTATTATTACAGCCTTGGAGTTGAATTTCAGATGTTAAGTGAGAGTGACCTATCCAGCATTTCACCACAGCCTCAGTAAAATTGAAGTTGATGGGAATCCAGGAAAATCTCTCCACTGACTGAAATCATCCTCACATGAATGAAGATTGTGTTAAGTTTAAAACTAAAAATGTTGCTTACTAGGATGTGAGCATTGCTGGAAAGGCCAGCATTTGTTGACTGTCCCTTTTTACCATTGTACAAGTACATCCAAATCTCTCGATCAACATTTAAAAGTTTCATGTCTGTTAAAAATATTCTCCTTCTATTTCTATCAAATTAAATAACCTCGTAAATTTCTTCATATTATGCTGTATTTGCCAGCTTATTCTCAATCACGTAACATGTTTCTTTGTGTCATCCACGTAGCTAACATTCTTGCCTAGCTTTGTATTATCAGTAAACTGAGATACATTACTTAGAGACAAAAAAACTGCAGATGCTAGAATCCAAGGAAGACAAACGGAGGCTGGAAGAACACAGCAAGCCAGGCAGCATCCAGAGGAAAGGAGCAGTGAACGTTTCGGGTGTCATCCTTCTTCAGGACTGGATATGGGGCTAGGGGGAGCTGCAGATAGAGAGGAGGGGAGGGGTGGTGGTGATAGGTGGACACTGGTAGTAGGTATGACCTGGTTGGTCGATGGGAGGGATGAATCCGGTTGATGGCTGGAAGGGAAGGTCAGATGGCAGAATGGAAGAGAGGAGGTGGGGCTGGAAAGGTTATTTGAAATTGGAGAACTCCATGTTGAGTCCTCTGGGCTGTAGGATGTAAAACTGAACTTTGAGTTCTCCAATTTCAAATAACCACCCCACCAATCCCCTGGATCCCTTTCCAGTCTCACCATCTCCCTTCCAATCTGCCTTCTGACCCTCCCTTCCAGCCACCAACTGGATTCATCCCATCCATCGACCAACCAGGTCATACCTACTACCAGAGTCCACCTATCACCACCATTACACTACCACCACCCCCCCTTTATCTGCTGCTCCTTGTACCTCCACATCCAGTCCTGAAGAAGGGTAATACCCGAAATGTTGACTGCTCCTTTCCTCCAGATGCTGCCTGGTTTGCTGTGTTCTTAGATGTATTACTGCCTGTCTCTCATTTGTTAATATAAGAGTGTAAATAGCTGATGCTTCAGCACCGAATCTTGTGACACTATTAGTTACAGTAGGCCATCTTAAAGATTCTTTCGTTATCCCGGCTGTATACTTCCTGTACGTTAACCAATCCTCCACCTGTGCAGTTATACTACTCGACTCCATGAACCCTTTGCTTGCATATTAATCATTTGTGACACCCTGTCAACTGCCTTTGGAAATCTAATTGCACTAGATTTGCCAGTTCCCTTTTAACTACCCTGCTAATTCTATCCTTCAAAACCTCCTAATAAGTTTGTTATATACAGTTTATCTTTTATTAATTTGTTAACTTTTGCTCCATACAGCAATTAACTTAGCATCATCTGCTTCACTGGTTTCCTGTTCCTAAACAAGTTAAAGATCCTGAAGTTACTTTCCAAATCACTTCACAAATCCTCACTTAATTGGATAATAGTCACCACCACTGCTCCAATTTACCAGAGAGGATGATCCTTGAGCCATTGTCTTTCTGCTCTTTGAAACTTTCATCTGTTTCTTTTACAATTACTCACCCTAGCTTTGGAAGCCCCCTGAAATTTTTTTTCAACCTACCTTCAGTTTCTTGTTCACTGTTTGATCAATGTCAACACTTCACCTTTGTGGAGCACTGTTAGTACTTTATATGAGTATATTTTTCTTTTATATAGTAAAAATAAAAATTCAAAGTGGCAAGATCCTGTAAAAAGACTGTGCCGTCACCGATTACATAAAACGCAGATGAATTTAACACACCAAGAATATTTTCCTTAGAGCATCTATAGCACACAAACAACCTTGAATGGGGTATGATTATTTATTTTCTAGGTTCCTTCACCTCCTGATACTGAAGATGATGACAATGAGTTTGTAATGGTGTCTTACAAGGATGTACAGATTTCAGAAAAGATGGATGAAGTGTACACCCACCTTACAAACCTTCTGAAGGAGCAATATGAGGTACATGAGTCATACTTAATGCATATATAATTGCTTAGCTCGCCAGTAAAAGTTAATTACGTTCACATACTCCACAGTGGTAATTCCAGTGAAATAGCACGTCAGGTGAGTTGCTTTGCAAAGTAATTACTGTGCATGTTGTCCATCAACCCTCAAATGAGGCCTTATAGCTCATTCTGAGAGATTCTGAAAGAGCTACAGGTATTCAACTTGATGGAAGAAAACACGTATGTGAAACAAGCTATCCTATTTGCCCACCAGTCAGACTGAAGTCGAGAAAAAAGATGCTTTGTTCTGTAATGAGAAGCTAGTCGAATTATGAGAATATCACATTAGAGCATGAGAGCAGAAAGAAAAATATTTAAAAGATACCTTTTGTTAACTTGTTAATTTTTGCTCCATACAGCAATTAATGTAGCATAATCTGCTTCACTGGTTTCCTGTTCCTAAACAAATTAATATAAAGTTCCTGAAGTTATTTTCAAAATCACTTCACAAATCCTCACTTAATTGGATAGTAGTCACCACAACTGCTCCAATTTACCAGAGAGGATGATCCTTGAGCCATTATCTTTCTGCTGTTCGCAAAATTACAGAATTACATATTCATTTCGGAAACAAATGTATAGCTATTTTGTTAAGAAGAAAAGTTTACAAGATCTGATACCAAAATTTCATTCTTTATGTTTTATCTTGGTCATGAAGTACCCATTTCTGCTCTCTGATCAGAGCCAAGTCGGAGCTCATGTGTTTGACCTTACGAAGGAGAATAGTAAGGATCAATCACATGGTCTGTTGGCTAAGGAGAAAAGTTTTGGTCAGTATTAGTGTTCCTGATAATTATCTTGTGGCACCTGCTGGAAATTATGTGCTTATCTTTTGATGAGCACGGGATTATGGCGTCATACAGCGCAGAAACAGACCCTTCGGTCCAATCTGCCAATGCCGAACAAATTGCCAAACTAAACTTGTCCCACCTGCCTGCTCCTGGTCCGTATCCCTCCAAACCTTTCTATTTATGCACCAACCCAAATGCCTTTTGAATGTTGTAATTGTACCTATATCCACCACTTCCTCAGGAAGTTCATTCCACACGCAAACCACCCTCCGTGTCAAAAATTTGATCCTCATGTCTTTTTTAAATCTCTCTCCTCTGACCTTTTAAAAATGTGTCCCTTAGTCCTGAAATACCAATCCTCGGGGAAAAGACATCTGCCATTAACTCTATCTATACCCCTTGTTATTTTATAAACTTCTATAAGTTGTGGTTGGTTGGCTCGCCGAGCTGGTTCGTTGTTCCGCAGACGTTTCATTACCCTGCTGGGTAAATTCATCAGTGCAGCCTCCAATGAAGCACTATGGTGTTTTCCCACCTGTTATTTAAACTCTGGTGTCTGTTGAACTGGATTACCTCACTTCCGGTTTTCCTTCGCAATGGAGTGTATATGGGGTCTAGC